ACATATGCGATAATACTTTCCACAGCCTTATATATCACTTTTGATTGTGTTTTCAAAATGCCTACAGACTGTATACTGATTTGATTTCACAAGTTCATAACTACAGGAAAATGAACATGTTAAGCTATATATTTCTTAACCTTTAACTAAATTAAAATACATGTATTTAGCTCAGTTGAATATTCCCAGTCGTTCAAAAGATTAATCCATTTTGAAATTTTGAAAGTTACAGTAAAATCTCCAAACTTTGTATCGTTAAACTACTTGATATTTGCTTCTTGTGATTTCCATATTTGTAGAGTGCCTGGCTTTTGAAAGATAAATTTTCAAAATCTTCAAACTCATTTACTTTTGATTGTGTTTTCCAACATGCCTACAGACTGTATACTTTACTTTTGATTGTGTTTTCCAACATGCCTACAGACTGTATACTTTACTTTTGAGTGTCATCATTGACATGACACTACAACTGAATATTTTTTTTGATTGTGTTTTCCACTCTCAATGAAATTTACGTCATCAGACATGCGACAAGTTGTTTATTTATTGAAGTAATAAAAAAAAAAAATAACGCCTCATTTCCCCATGTGCACTTTCTAACACAACCACAAATACTTTTGATTGTGTTTTCCTGCATGCCTACAGATGTATACTAAACTTTTGTCATGATTTTCCGGATAATAATGATGAGGTAAATACGCATAGCGATAAAATTTTTAGAAGATTTTCAACTACCAGTAAAAGTTATTCTACATTTGCTCTTCATGCAGGACTGTATACTTTACTTTTGATTGTGTTTTCCAACATGCCTACCAACAATACTTTTACTTTTGAAAATGTTTCATTGAACAGGCTGTATACTTTACTTTTGATTCCAACATGCCTAAAGTTTTAATATGCCTACAGACTATAGTACTTGTACTTTTAAAAAATTGATTTCCAAAGGAATTGCCTACAGACTGTAAACTTTACTTTTGATTGTGATTTCCAACACACACACACACACACACACTACTTTTGATTGTGATTTCCATTTTGCCTACAGACTGTATACTTTACTTTTGATTGTGTTTTCCAACATGCCTACAGACTGTATACTTTACTTTTGATTGTGATTTCCATTTTGCCTACAGACTGTATACTTTACTTTTGATTGTGTTTTCCAACATGCCTACAGACTGTATACTTTACTTTTGATGTCTTACTTTTGATGTCTTATATTATCATTACAGGTTGTCCACCATCGTCCCAGGGGCAATGTGTACAAAAATGGATGTCCAATTTGTAAATGTTTGATGACAATAATTTATCTATGTCATTCATCAATGAACATTGATTATTAATGTATATGTGGCACAGTGCTTAAACTAACTAAAAAAAATTAAAAAGAACTTTTTTTTAAAATTTAAAGTATGTACAGATATATTGAAACTTGTATAGCCAGGATGTTCTGTATTCCGAAATCTTGCCTAAAACGATGTCAACTTTAAGATTCACTTTCAGTAATTTCAATTATTGAAAATGTTGTTTGATTCGGAATGTCTACTCCAGCCAGTTATTTGGTACCGGTGGTGGCCGAATGCACGAGTTTTACCGTATGCATGTGTAGTTCTCTTCTATGTTCTTATCCTTTTCATTGCCCCTGTCTAATCTAAACCAACCTCAATTCAGAAATTTAAAAAAAAATTTATATGTAGGCAAGATTAAAAAAATTTTATGCTGAGCAAAAGAATTTTAAATTATTGAGGTATATTAAAAATGCTTTCAAAAAATTTGGATTTTTTTCTTCCAGCCTTAAATGGTGACCAGCCATGGAGAAGATAGAACTTTGTACTGAGGGCAAAGAAAAAAATCTCATGTTTTTTGCTTGTTTTTGTATAGAGAAAAAAAACCACTACGTTGTTCTACAAAAAAAGTTTGTGAAAAACGGATGCCCCTGTATGACAGCTAAGGTCAAGTATAAGAGTTCAAAAATGTTGATACCCATAGAATGGTCAAGGTTAAAGTTTTTTTTCAAAAAATAGGCCAGTCTCCATGGTCATTGTCACCAGGTCAACAAATGGTACCAAAGGAAGGGAATATCGAAAACAAAACTACAAAACATGTCACACGGAATGCATGAGTGAAATATGAAAACCATCGGTGTAACCGTTCAAAATTAGAGAAAAGGTTAAATATTTTTTTAAATGAAAACCAAAGTCAAGGTCATGAGGTCAAATATATTCCGGTATAAGTCCCCAAACTGGCAAAGAAAAGTCTTGACACAAGGAATACACTTGAAAAATGTGAAAGCCTAAATTTAAATGAAAAAAAGGTCTATTCATATAGGAATGCACATGAGTGATATTTGAAAGTCCTAGCACCCACCGTTCTAAAGTTATGCCAAGGTTATATTTTAAAGTAGGTCAGTTTCAAAGGTTGAGATCGAAAGAAAAAAAAAACGTTGGCACCCCAAAAAAGGTCTGGGTACGTGGAATTCACTTGTGAAATAGAAAAACCTTGGCTATAACCGCTTGGAAGTTATGATTATCCAAGATTAAATATTGTTTTTTTTTAAATAGATCAAACTTCAAGGTCAAGAGATCAAGTGACCTAGATTAAAGTTTGGTATTTTTTTGTAAAAGTGAGTCGAACTCCAGGGTCAAGAGATTAAATATCTTGGTACCCAAGGAAAGACCTCGACAAAAGGAATACGTACACATCATTGGCGTCGGAAGCAAATTGAAAGTTTTGGGGGGAGGGCTAATTGTAAAATTTTTTTAGACCTTCAAAAATACCTGACAAGCAAAAATAGAAAAAGGGAATATGTTCATTGCCCAAACATGAAGACCCTATTTCGTGGTGAAGGGGGGGGGGGGGGGGGGGGGGGGGTGGACTTCTTTCAGTACCAAATTTTTTTCCAAACACCACCACTTTCTTTCTTTATTTTCTAACTATACTGCAACGTGTCTATGGAAAGAAGGGGGGGGGGGTAAACCTAAACCGCAATGTATACAAAATACTCCTGAAACTTCGATTACGGGAATTAAAGAATAACCAATTGAAGGTAAACATTTTGCGGACAAGAAGACAGGCATACGGACTATATGGGCCTGAATCACTGGGGGCATACACTTTAAAAAAAACGGTGTTTTTCGATTCAGTTAAATTTTCTTTGGAATATTAATAATTTTCTATTTCGCTAAAAAATATATATCACTGAGAATAGACTATGGACAATGGATTTTAAAATCCGTTATAAATTGACTGTGCATGTGTATTGGTTTATCCCAGCCACGTAAGCTAGGCATGTGCAGGGGCATCATGAACTTGCTTTATCTTTTCAACATACAATGTTATCAGTTCAAATATACACCTAAATTTTCCATTCATGTTCGTCAATTAGCATCCATGCATTCAATAGCGATGTTGATGACAAAGACACGATATCATTTTCTCGACATTTTTATACCATGCAGTAATTAAGAAATATGAAAATATGTTTTAATTTACACTAACTGCCAAATCAGTGTCGAAGTTCCTCTTGTTCTTGTGTAAGAGATTCTTCTAGACAATCTATACAAACGCACTACAAAAAAATCTGATATCCAGTGGGTAAATGCGAATAAAAATACATTTTTTTTCTGCAGAAATTGAAGGCGCTTGGTCTAGGTTTTGAAAAGGGGGAGAAAAAAGAGGTAATAACCTCCTTACCTCGAAACAAAGGTTGATTTATAAGTTCCAACTTTTCCAGCAAAATTTTTAAATGCATTTTGATGGGAGGGTTTTTAAATTAACGGTGAAAGGTTACGTTTAAATTATTTAGATATTCAAAATTATTTTGATATTTAACTGCACATGTAAATATTGTACATAAATAAGGAAATTATTATTATTAAAGATTGAAGTATTACCTCAAGAGAATAATCTTTTCTGTAACGTTTTACATATATTTACCATGCATGCATTAAAGGCGGACCCCCCCTTCCCCCCCCCCCCTCCGTTATGAAATGGATCCGCTCTGGCCTGGACATTTTGATTTGAGAAAAGATTCCCGGAGAACAAAATTAAAATATCAAGATACAAGTAGTACTTATCTACATGCATACTAGCATATATGAAAAAACGACATAATTAACACTTATGATAAACTGCAGATCAAGGACAAGTGATAACTTACATCGTGGAATTTTTTTGGACAAAATTGTGGTCAATATGGGTAGTGCAATTTACTGATAGTAAATAAGATTAGAATGTACGATGTACTAACATCTATTGTAGCCTTTTTAAATGTCAAAAAACAGGGGGGGGGGGGGGGGGGGGGATTTGACATTCAAAATATCTGTCGGTTTCATGTGTTGATTTTTGTGAAAAGAATATCTAAAGTGTTTAGATCTTTTACCAGGCCAATCTTTTTTTTTTAATGATTGAGAATCTTACTACGTGAAATCTTTAACAATTATAGTTATCCAGATAAAATAAAAGTATGCTTATGCATTTTCTTCTTGTGAAAAAAATACAATGTTTTTTTTCTTGGCAAAAATACATCTGTAACCTCAACCAATGCTTACCCGATAGAGTACGAATTTTATTTTTATACTTTTGTGGGGTATGAATATCAACTTTTAATAATATCACTTCCTAGACTTCAAAGAACTTTGAATCGTATTGAGATGCATAAAATGAAAATTGTTTCATGAAATTATTTCAAGTTCAAGCTTCATTTTGAAACGTTTTAAAAATAATAATAATAAATTTTAGAGTTATTGTTCCTAGCTGAGGTTCGGATATCCTTAATGCATATAATCTCTTTTTTTTCTTCTGTTTTTATTGAATTCGAATATACTTGTTATTTCATTGTATCCGTCCGCTTATCTATTTGATGCTCATTTGATTCTATGCATGATTGCATTTTACAAAGTCGTAACGCACAATAATTCATTTGGAAACAACATTTTAAACTTGTTTTTGTTAACTGCTATTCAAACACGTATACCTTAAAAAAATAATGAAACGTCATTTAATAATTTCATTTTTATGTAACATGTACCAATAATGTAAACATATTGCATATTGCAAATATTTGCAATTGCGATAAACACACAACAATGCAACAAAGGTAAATCTATTGCCTTTTTTAATGAAAACAATAAACAAAACATAGCTTTTAGCATATACCATGCTGTATACATGTCAAAATATTCGGAATTTTTTGAATCCGTTTACAATGTGGGATGCAACAAATCAACATTGCATTATTCACCACTAAGTGATGCTAGAAATGTTGGAATATTTGGCACAACCAATCCAAAAACAAACCCCATATTCTGGAGTGTTTCTTTAAAAAAGTTCAAATCTGGTATTCGTAAGCATTTTTAAAACGTTGGAATCAATCGAACACTTATCCTGTAGTGTTTCTTTAAAAAACTTCTAAAGTTAAAAAAAATGTCAGAATCAATCGAACACTCTCAATGGGCGGGCTTTTCTGCGTAGAAAACCCCCCATCTCTGATCCCCGGCCGCCGTTCTCTGTAACTTGTCCTTCCAACCTCCAACAATGTCATTATAATCCTTGAGAGAAAATTCCTAAAAAGAAAAGAAAATATCAAATGTTTACTCCCTCTAGAAGAAGAATTGTACTTTGATCAATAATGTTGGACATAGAATTTTATGACATGTTTTGAAGATTTACCCCAACAAACTCGTCTTTTATTTTTTCAGTATTGACTAGTTCCTTTTCCAATGATTTAACAAACAGGTCTGTCCTGTCATCTGCTTCGACATTAACGAATCCTGCTTCCTCTAAAACCTGAAACAGATACAACCGCCATTTTATACAACACTGTCCATCATAGACATTTTCGTTATGTATAAAAATATAAAAAATGAAGTAACCTTTCTGCTTATTATTCAATAGGTCATATGTTAAAATTGACAGTTAAAATAAAGTAATTCTAATTACCTTCCCATACTGTTCTGGAGACAGTAGGTTGTACCCTCGCTGTTTGACGTAAGCCTTGAATTGTTCAGAGTGTTCGTCAGGACTGCAGGCATAGTCCGAGATCAAAAGTCGTCCGCCGGGTTTTAGACATCTCTAAAAAGGAGAGAAAACCTCAATTACAACTTACTATTATTATCTTTCATAAAATAAAAACTCTACATACATGTACCTTATTTGTTCCACATTAAGAGTCAATTTTATCATTTACCATCGTCAAACATAAGAATTAAGTGGGATTCAAGTTACTGTAGGATACGTTTTTAGATCACATTTTCTGATCACATTTTGTCCGTTGTCCGTCTGTCAGTCTGTCTGTCTGTCTGTCCGTCTGTAAACTTTTCACATTTTTGACTTCTTCTCAAGAACTACTGGGTCAATTTCAACCAAAAAAGCCACAAAGCATCCTTGGATAAAGGGGATTCAAGTTTGTTCAAGTGAAGGGCCACACCCTCATTCAAGGGGAGATAATTGGGAATTAATGAAAATTTGGTGGTATGTTTTAAAAATCTTCTTCTCAAGAACCACTTTGCCAGGAAAGATGAAACTTATGTGGAAACATCCTCAGGTAGTGTAGATTCAAGTTTGTTCAAATCATGAACCCCGGGGGTAGCGCGGGGCCAAAATGGCCGACCAAAGTTTTACATAGAAATATATCGTAAAATTCTTTAAAAATCTTCTTCTGAAGAATAGCAAAGCCATAATTGTTCATATTTATATGGAAGCATCCTCAGGTAGTGTAGATTCAAGTTTCTTCAAATCATGACTCCCAGGGGTAGGGCGGGGCCACAATGGCCGACCAAAGTTTTACATAGAAATATAATATAGTAAAATTCTTTAAAAATCTTCTTCTCAAGAATAACAAAGCCATAATTGATGATATTTATATGGAAGCATCCTCAGGTAGTGTAGATTCAAGTTTGTTCAAATTATCATCCCCTGGGGTAGGGTAGGGACAAAATGCCGACCAAAGTTTTACAGAAATATATAGTAAAATTCTTTAAAAATCTTCTTCTCAAGAATAGCAAAGCCATAATTGTTCATATTTATATGGAAGCATCCTGAGGTAGTGTAGACTCAATTTTTTCAAATCATGACCCCCTGGGCTAGGGCGGGGCCACAGTGGCCGACCAAATTTTTACATAGAAATATAATATAGTAAAATTCTTTTAAAATCTTCTTCTCAAGAATAACAAAGCCATAATTGGTCATGGGACTACTTTTGGATTTAAACTTTTCAATAATAAACCAATTCTACTTTTTCCTAGCCACAGTGCTCAGGTGAGCGATGTGGCCCATGGGCCTCTTGTTTTTACTTAATCTATACTGATTTTCTTTCACCACATGATTGTACTCATTGCTATTGATTTTCAATAAAATATGACTTTAAAGTTTTATTTTAAGATCAATCTTTACATTTACAATTATTTTTATTGATTTTTAAAGATAAAAAAAGGAGATAATGAAAATGTACTGGGGTATGGAGTATAGTGTTAAAATTTCAACATACTCATGCATGTATATTATTATTCCATGATACACTAAACATTTTCTTTCTACTAAATGTAAAATATAATTGGACATATTGTGCAAACAACTAGAATATAAGAATTTCGTTTTATCTATACTCCCTTTTCATTCTTTAAAAATTAAAATATTATAAAAACAACAACGTGGTATTTTTTTAGTAATACATGTACATGTAGGTATATAATTGATTCGAGATATGATTAATAACTTACGTAGAATCTTTTAAATAGGTCGAGTTTGTCTTTTATATGAAGAATGGTGTCACGACTGTACACGACATCAAAATAATTGTCGGGGTATATCCTCTTTGTAGCGTCCGCTACCTCAAACTGCACCTATTAAAAAAAATTAAACATGGTTAATATAAAATGTCTGAAACACGCATCTTATAATAGTAGAATTTTCTCAGCATTTATTTGCATCACTTACATCAAGTAGCGAGACTCCCATTTCTTCCGCCCTTTCCATACCGATCTTGATCATGTTAGAGGACAGATCTATCGCTACGACCTTTACGCCAAACTCCTATATAAAAGTTGTTCTTCCAATTATTATTTGATCAGATGTGAAATTGCAATGAAATGGCATCGTACACCACGAGACATTAAAAAGAAACAAAAGACATCATGGGAACTTTTTTATTTTTAAAGTAAACCTGAAGACTTGATATTTACTTTGACCATGTAGAATGCACTTCCACCGATTCCACAACCAATGTCCAAAACTACTTCCCCTTTCTTGAGGTTCAATCTATCCACAAATTCCTGCAATTTATTTTTTAAAAAGTCAATTATCAACCAATTTTTTTAAATTAAGAAGAAATATAGAGCACATATTGTATGTATTTCTGTAGTTCAAATCTCTTATGAATGACATAGTACCTTTGTGGTATCCAACCCTCCAGTACTGACAAAAGTCCTCCCAAAGATTTTCTCGTATCTGAGGATTCCATTCACTGAATACTGCTTCTCGTCCAGAAATTCTTGGAAGGTCCGGTAACCGTGGTTACTGCTCTTTGTTCGTCGCACTTTTTGCAATAACCAAACTATTTGGTTTTTATTGTTCTTTAGCTAAAAAAGATACACTAAGATATTAATCAAGCTGCTCAGATCGGCTCTTTTGAAGACAACGAAAATCTGTCATCCTCTTTGCATTTCCGATTAACAGTAATGATGGCGGAGTTAGAGAGGAACCTTGTAGTATGCATCTACTGATTTCTGTAGCACCAAGTCGTATCCATACACCTCCTCGTTGTTTTCTGTTGGAATTTCTAAAGAAGTGAACAGAGCCTCGTACATTCCTGGCTCTCGATATTTTGTTGGATTTGCTTTCCTGTCTTTGTTCCCTAAAACAACAGAATATACCAAATTTCTAACATGTAAAATACTAATTCTCGCCAAAAATGGCTATAATACATGTAACATGGATATATAGACATTACAATTTACAATACCTGATTGATGATAACATGATTCTCGGCAGAAAAGGTATCCGTCCTCTCGAAGCCAGGAAAGTGTTTCTTTGATTAAATTCTTCACTTCCTCATCTTGTAGATACATTAATAACCAGTTGGAGAAAACAAAATCGGTGCTGAAATACAATATTTCTATATACAAGAATACGTGATGATTTACTCAAAGTAGATACGAGTACTTTGATTATTTTTTTCAAAATTATTTTAATCGATTCTTTTCATTTTGTTCTTTCTATTTGGTAAGGTTCTCTTCATACCTCTCTTTTGGGAGCTGTAATTTTGTAACATCAACACATTTATGTTGAACATTCCCAAATTTGGCAGTCTCTTGTTTGTTTTTGTCAATGAATTTGTCTACAAAATCAACCGCTAAAACAGATTTCGCATCCTTGGCCAACTCCTTCGTAAATCGCCTGCAAGAAGCAAGTGTACATTTACCAACCACATGCGCTTTTTAAAATATGCTGAAGAAAATTACAAAACTATACATTATGAAAGAAAGTTGCCCAGATTTTGCCTACTTAACGAAAAAGTAATGTTAAGAGATAATGAAAGTCTAGCATAACCTTAAGTTCAAGTACACCAAATTTTTATCTTTTTGAATGCGTATTTTAAATTAGTCACCGCAACTGCATGCCGTGTACTTCAAACTGTCCCAGTTCATCAACCTCAGATCACGACCTAACTGACCACTAGTCCTAGTTACTGATGATAAAACTTGATCAACATGTAGGTAAGTGGGTAGATCATGCAGTGACCTATCCAGACAAGTGATATCGTTTATTAATCTTAGGCTTGAAGACACCCCCCTCCCCCCAAAAGGAATAACTCCGAATTCTTAATCTGGGTGGGAGAGTGTGTAAGGAGGGATGTTAAAATTGTATGCTCTTACATCAGTAGATTAATAACGGCCAGAAGGAGAGCTCCTTTTCATTGCAACGAAAATTGGGGAGGGGGGGACAGCCTTTAAATGAATATTTTATCACATTAAAAAAAAAACAGCTAAAAACAGAAATAAAGGATCGAATGTGTGTCCCCTTCCAATCCCTTACGGGTCTGCCATCGCATTCTGAATTGTAAAGTTGCTATCAGTTCACCTTTATTAACTTGGAACCTACTTTTTTCTTTAAATTATATATATACAACTCATCAATATCTTCCTAAAATGTTATTGAAACAATTAAAAGTAAAAACAATATACACTATAAAGAATATAAAATATTTACTTACCCAATTCCGGCTCCCAGTTCCACTACATCTTTTCCGGAAACGTTTGGGATGTAGGACAGAATTTCCGGAAGTTCCTCCTCTGTCATGGTAGCGGCATTGTTGTCTAGCATCATCTCTTCGATAGACCCGTCCTTAGAATGATCTTGCCAGAACTCCATCATAGCAGTCCGAACCTCTGGAATGAAAATATAAAATGGCTCTAATGCATGAGACAAAATTGAAGCATGAGTTTAGATGCATGTGTCAAGATGCATAGTGTAAACCGGCCTTAAAGATCATCAAATATATATAAGAATTCGAGGGTCCTGAATGTCTTCCATTGTTGAAAATTTCATGAAGTTTAAAAACTGACACTTTTTTGATAACGCAATCAAAAGATTTATCAAACGACAAACATTTTATTTTCTTAATTCTTAAAAATAAGTTTTAATCATTTACTTTAATTTGGGTTTGTGAAAAATGCGGAAAGAGGTATATGGCATGGTGTCTTCTTCAAATTCAGACATTTTGTGAATAGATAAATCTAAGATTATCGTCAAACTTTATTTAAAAAAAAGGGGGGATAGAAAAACCTCAAGGGAAATGACAAAATATGAAGATTACATGTCTCCGTAGTCATGGTAGTGGTAAATTCCGACATTAGAAGAAGAATACAAAGAGAATCCAATTTCAAGTTCTAAAACATAACCCATCCTCACCCCCCCCCCCTCCCGCCGAATACTGTAAAGTATATACAGCATGCATGTTTTGCTGATTTAAATATGAAGAAGACATAATAAAAATAGCATACTTTATTTTCAAGCTACGGAAATACAAACATGTATAGGAAATGGTTTGAGCTACGTTCTTTTTTTCTACGTAGATAACTGTTGAATATTTATCAATTAATACGGCTATACATGTGCAATGAATTAAAAAATATATTAAGTAGACCATAAAAAAACTAATTTTAATTCGTAATTGTGCTTACCAGACCGACTCGACACCAGTGTCCACAAGAAGATTGATAGCCTTTCAGTGAAGGTTTAAATGACACAATGATTTTTATTATACTGTATATTCAAGGTCCGTTTGCACTGAAGTCAGTATCGCCCGACACATAACTATGCCGCATTTGAATATTTAATATTTAAATTGATAACATTAATGCATCTGTGGTATTCAAAAGCGATTTTATAAATAATTTTGAAAGAATTTCATAATAAAACAAAGAAAAAATATTAATAATTTTGGAAGGTAGTGCAACTTATTGCATTAATAATCAATTTTAGTTTAATAACATGTACATATTTTGCTCCATCTCATAATTACAAATCTTGAATTGCACTTACCATTTAAGACAGGCATGTTTGAAATATATATTCATGTCACAAAATGATGTTTCAGGTCTCACTTATATACATACCTAGGAGACTGGAACCTATCACGTGACTATATATTTGCCCAATATTGTTTCTTTGTTATATGTGTAAAATATACTTACTAAGTACTATAGTAAAATTTAAAAAAAAAATCCCAAGCTTATCAATTAATTTTTTGGCATCCAGTTATCAAAAGATAAAAATATCTAGGAGGAAAATAACATTTTTTGTTGAAAAATATTGACATAAAAAAATCAAGTTTGATGAATATTCATGAAATTCAATTTGATGCATGGAACTTAGCTGCGAAGTTTAAAGGGGTCAAGGCTACTGTGAGGGAAAATTACTGACACACAAACACTCTGACCTATCACTTAAAAAAAGTAAACATATCGATCTGCATTTATAAGTCGAAAGAAACGCATTTTCCTTCCCCTATTTTTAATTTAAGAAATGTATTTTGCAAATTAAGGTACACGTTAATTAATTCCTCGTAAAATCTAATATAAGGATATTTTCATTATTAATTTTCTGTAAATTAAGGTCCGCTGTTTTATTTGTTATATAACAATTAATGCATCCGTTTAAAAAAAAATATAATGTCTTGAGTTTCTTTGTTTTTTTTTTCACTACTGTAAATAATATATATATAAAGATCACATGTTTCCATTAATGACAATATTAATGGGCATAAAAAATAGCTGAATCAGCATGTGGAAGGTAGAATCGTACGATTGTACGTAATACGACAGACACACACAGGTAACACGCAGCTACTTTGATCATATGCACTTATCTATTTCCCTGGTCATGCTAAACAGATTTCCATTAGTGTGTATAAATATACAATTTATCACTCACTTCAGTATCACTGGAATATTAATGAATTATTTCTGATAATAAAAATAACTATGTTTTGGATTTGACAAGAAAACGATTATTTTTTTTGTCTTGATTAGGAATAAATAAAAGCTAAGTATACAATACTAATGAAGCCTCACCGATCCACGCCATGTCTCAATGTCTTGACCATTCCATCATTCTCTGACTTCCTCCGGCATCTCCGGGGAGAAAAATCTACACACGCAGTCCAACTGTGAATCAGAAATCAATAAAGTAACGCACGTGGCTTGTGTTCGAAAACAAAGACTCATTATTTGTGTGCATATGTTAGCATTCCTTTCTAGTAAATAACATTCTTTAAATTAATAAACGCTATTTGAAAAGAATAAAAAAAAATTATTCACGTGTGTTCAATCCTGTGCACTAGCCAAACACTGAATCTTCAACAAAGACCGGTATAAAGGCAGTGGCGGATCAAGACTTGAAAGAAAAAGGGTGGAATTAAGGGTCGGGGAACATATGTAACAACAACACTAAAAAATATTCTTGATGCCGGGAGAATGTATATATTTTTAGTCAAAAGGGAGGGGTGGATCCCAATTAAATCGTAAGCTCTTTTTTTTTAATTCAAGAATCATAAAATAATTTAGGTCAGCGGCAGTATGATTCTCTAATTAACAAGCGTAAATCATAGACACCTGACGTTACTTGTTTTTCTTTTAAGAAATAAATAACTAAAATAATATGTTAAGGTTTGTGGGGCAAATCAAGAGCACATACATCGATATTTGCAATACATAAACTTAGTTACTAGAGGTTAAAAATTAAAGCTAGTTTTCGACACTTGATAAAGATCGGGCTTGATATTCGTGAAACATAGTTCCCGCGGATTTCAAGATGGAGTCTGGGGAGAGGGGAACTATCTCCTGGATTAAACCAACTGAAAATAAGCCCATCAAAGTAACAAAATGGAGAGTAAAACTTGGATCAAAGGTTGGGAAAGGAGCCTTACTTTGTCTGTATGACACGGAAGATGCCAAAAATCTTAAGCTGAAATCAAACATGGTGGGCACTGTTTTGGAAATGAAACAAGAGTTTATTCCTGGAAGGTACTAATTCAAAAGAGGCTGGCAGTGATAAGAAGGCTTATGATTTTTTAGTTGACGATGCGGTAAAAAAGCTTTTTTCTATTGATTTGATGTGAAGCTTATCTAACGGGATTGTTAAGTAACAAATATGCTTCATGTTCATCAGTTGTTAATCTGTTACTGTAATTGTAATGACATTTAAATTTCAGTGAAGGCCTGGTAAAGATGGAGTCTTGTACACATCCCACTGTGATGAAGGATATGTGTGCAGACTGTGGAGCTGATTTAAGACAGTAAATATTAGCTTTTGTATCCTTCCCATTCTACAGCTTCACTGTTTACAAAATGAATTATTTATGCTTAAATTATCATGAAAATGCTGCAAAAGGTATTTTGACATATTGAAAAATATTGAAGAAAAGTATTGTTCAAGATTTTTAAGGCTTTCATTTTATGTTATACATTTTGCAGGGAGGCAGGCATTGCTGGTAACAGGAAAGAACCAGTCAGTGCATCGGTTGCCATGGTACACAATATTCCAGAGCTCATAGTGAGCGAGAAGGTAAATCAGTAATAATATACAGTATAATTGTTTTTACTCTAGTAGTCTTCACACAATTTGAAGTCTTTTTATTGTACATGAAATATCTCAAATACATGAAATTTAGTAGAGACACATTATAGTGAATTAAAGTATGAAGCGATGATTTTTAAGATTCCATCAACATTCTTAACAATTCCTCTTAAAAATTCAAAGTTGTAATGTACTCTGATTTAATGAATTAACTATAATACATGTTGAAAGGAGTTGATCTGAGTCAAGGTTCGTAAAAATGTAAGGTATTTATAATTATTTTAAAGAATTTGAAGTCTGCAAGGCAGATTTGTTTATAATACATTAAGCATATTTTGTATTTGAAAGATGGAAAAATCAAATGTATCATTGACTAGAATCTGATGATGATTCCTTTCATCCAATTTAAAGATTCTCTCCTCTACAGATTTACATTGACTTTTTGAATTCTTGAGATTTGTCTTGTTTTCACAGCAAGCAATGGAACTTGGGAAGATGGATGAAGAGAGACTGCTGAGAACAAGAAAACTCGTGTTACTGGTGGATCTTGATCAAACTTTGATTCACACCACCAATGACAACATTCCTCCCAACCTTAAGGTTAGAAAATTCTCAAACTTTTACTTTCATTTGAAGGAGCATTAATTTATCAGTTAATTTAAGTTCGAACCAATATTAAGTAATTGAAGTTGATTAATTTAATAGCAGTGTGCTTGCAAATGTTCAAAATGTGTACCTGGTACATAAAATGAATATTTGATTTATGCCAAAACCTTCTTAAAATTAATTGGTTAAAACATATGCATGAATATTTTGATTCTTTAAGTATAAATTGATTATTTGTAGGGGGTGTATCACTTTCAACTTTCTCATGGAAACATGATGCCGTGGTATCACACTCGTATTCGTCCAATGGCAGACAAGTTCCTGGAGAATATCTCTAAGCTGTATGAACTACACATCTGTACATTTGGATCTCGCATGTATGCTCACATCATTGCCAAATTCTTAGACCCAGATGGGAAATACTTCTCACACAGAATTCTCTCCAGGGATGAATGCTTCAATCAGAATTCCAAAATGGCAAACTTAAAGTAAGAGATAAAATTTAAAATTTTCTTATATGCTGATAAGTTGTAATGAAAATCAAGATAATTTACTATGCCCAGGATATTAATTGCTCAAAATTGTATGAAACAGTAAGGTAGATTCCATAGAAATAATTTGGCACTCAAATCAAAAGTTTTCCCAAGTTATAGATTTAATCTGAAAACAGAATTATGGCCCTTTATTTTACCATTAGTAACACGAGAGAAATGAATGAAATAATTTTTTCTCTCAGATATGAAATGGTTTCCCTCTTAGTAATTTAATCTTATCTTCATTACTTAGAGCTCTCTTTCCCTGTGGGGATTCCATGGTGTGCATTATTGATGATAGAGAGGACGTATGGAATTACTCCCCAAACTTAATCCATGTGAAGCCCTACCGCTTCTTCCAAGGCACCGCAGACATCAACGCTCCACCAGGACTGGAGAAAAAGGAACACGATAAAGACCCACTAACTCACAAAGTACATGTCATCTCCAGATCCAACAGCAAAGAGGACAATGGTGAGAAAGAGGGAGATAAGGGGGGAGAAACTGAAGAGGAAGGAGGAGAGAAAAATGTAGGGACAGAAAATGGTGAGGCAGCTAAAACCGACTCAGAAAAAACTGATAGGAAGTGTGAAAAAGACATTGAGAAAAAATCCTCTGATGATAACACAAAGAAAGAGAATAAAGATGATGTTGAAAGTGCAAAAGAAACAAATAAAGCTCAAGACAATGGAAAAGAAGAGGATTCTGTAAAAAATAAGGATGAAAGTATGGATTGTGAAAAGACTGTTCAATCAAATTCAGAAGCTGCAAAAGCAGTTTCATGTGATACAGAAAAGTCAGATAGTGAAAAGAATGGAAAAGTAGAGGAAACTGAAGAAAAGAAAGAGGACAGAGAGAAGGAAGATGTGAAGACAGAGGATGTGGAAATTGAATGGGACGATGATGATGACTATTTATTGTACTTAGAAGAAATCCTGACCACCGTTCATAAGGCATTTTACGATATGTATGATCAGCTCAAATTAAAGGGAGAGAATGCAGAAAAACCTGATATGAAAAACATCCTACCTTATGTGAAAAGAAAAGTGCTTAAAGGAAAAAATATTCTATTTAGTGGTGTTTTTCCTATGAGTGTTCCATTAGAGAAGAGTAGGGCCTACCATGTGGCTAAAATGCTTGGTGCAAATGTTCACACGGACTTCATTCCTAGAGCAAAAGATGGTTCAAATAAATCTGACTACACAACTCATGTAGTGGCAGCTAGACTTGGAACTGTTAAGGTCAAAATGGCCCAGAAACACAAATATGTGAAATTAGTGAATCCTCAATGGCTGTGGGCATGTGCAGAAAGAATGCAGCATGTGGATGAAAGACTTTATCCACTTAATGACTCCACTTCTGGAAATGCTTACTGTGAAAGTCCTGATCCATCACGGCTCAATAGAAAACGCAAAAATGAAGAGGAATCAGACTCAGGAAAACGGTCTAGGAGGAATGATGATGGTGACAAAATTCCTCCCCAAGAAGAAATGGAGGCATCAGAAAAGGTGGAAAAAGATGAAGAGGTGGAAGACCTGAAAGTGAAATCGGCAGCTAAAATCACCTCTGCTCGTTTCTCCACCAGCTATAACCCAATGTTAGCCTTCTCAGATGAAGACCTAGAATGCATGGACAAGGAAGTGGAAGACTTAATGGACGAGGATGGAGATGAATCTGAGGAAGATGACATCGACCGAAACGAGAGGATCCGATTGTCTGTCCTCAGCAGTGGGGATGACGACAACTCCAGTAGCGAGGAGAGCATGTCGGGGGATCTCCCCAGGGGGTGGAGCCTGAAAAAGAGGCACAGGTCCTCCAAGTCAGGGGACAGTAGCTCTGATAATGAGGAAACCCAGAAGCACAGAGATGAAGAGAGTGAAAATGAACTAGAAAAGTATGAAAAAACAGTGGCAGCTTTTGCACCAGATACTGAATCTGAAACACAAGATTCTTTTGCGGAATCTATTGGCTCTGTTGATGATGAAATGGCAGAGGCTGTGGAAAGAGAATTTCTGGCCAACTGATTGTTAAAGATTTTAGTCAGTTATTAATGTTTTAATAAATTTATTTTCTTTGATTTTTTTGTTTGTTCATCCTATTAATGATGAGAAGAGATACATGTACAGTGAATCTCAGCTACAGTGAAGTTTTAGGGACCTTTGAAACTTCTTTGCTATATCAGTAATTCGATAAATCCATTAAGTACATGTACATGTTATAAATTCCTTCAAATAATACAGCAAATTCACAATACATATTTTTTGTAAGTCTTCAAATATGTTGAGAAAACATACAAAAATTGTTTAGAGAAGTTTTTGGATGAATTGGAAATACTGTGGAATCATTTGATTTTGTGATGGCTCAATTTTCACAGAATAATATGTGGGTACCTTTCATCCTGGAATCAACGTTTTCCTCTATGTACCATAATACATGTAATCCATGATTACAAAGTGCTATTTCCTTCTGTAGGTACAAGACTAACAAAAGAATACACAAAACTATGCCCCCACTGACCTGTAAAAATTTAGTAAATCCACGAAAAAAATTGGTTCCCACAAAGTTTATCGATTTCAAAATTTGAATATTTATTGAAAATAATGTCATTTTTTATAAAACTTTAAAAAAATTGTGATCTTCAAAAAAAAAAAAAAAAAAAAATTCAGTATTGAAAATGTGCATTTTATTATTTTTAATTTCTATGGGTGTAAACAAAATCATTTTTTTTATCCTTATATTTATCATAACTGAAAGGAATTGTTTAGAATTTTGTTGGGTATCCAAAGAAATTTTACTATATCTGTAAATTCACAAAGTGCTTACTAAATGAGTTACTGTTTGTAAACAAATAGTGGATTTAAAGAAACAATTCTGTTTTTGTTTGAAGCAAAGGCTATTGTATCAATATATTATTTATAAAACAATTCTTGTTAAATTTCATCTTTCATACTAAGGCAGCATTCATTAGTAAAGAATACTGAAGGAAGAAGTGGCCAAAGCCTTTTTAATTGAAAAGTGGTGAAAAATGTCAAAATGTTAGCGTTTAAGAACAATTTGAATTGCCTTCAATTTGTGCTAAAATAATTGTGCTGTACATTACCACAAATTTCTCAGATTTTAAAGGCTATATTTAATGTTTATTTAATGTTGATGTTTTGAAATAAAAAATATGAAAAAATTAAACAGACTTTGCTCATTATTTTCTAAATAAATTGAAAGACGAGCTATCACAAGTTACAATGTAGATGCAATAATGTAGCCTTCTTCAATATTTTTTAATTAGGTGTTTTCTGGAGAACAAAACAAGAGGCCCATGGGCCTTATATATCACCTGAGCATCATGCAACAACTTTCCAACAATTTAATTTGGTTCATGTTTTAAACCAGAGGCCATGGCATTCACAATTTTGAAAGAGGCAACACTTCATTATATCTATATATATATATGCACATAACAATTGCTTCGTTTGATTATTCAATATCCATAGGCATAGAAGGGAACAAAAAATGCATTTCAACTAATCAGTAATATTCAGCAGTAATTGGTAGTAACCCCCCCCCCCCCCTCACAGGAACTTCTGACCCTATAGGTCCACACATATTTCAAAATTTTTGAAAAGGCACCTTTGCACATCGTAAATGTTTGATTAATACCAAAGAGCTGATTTCAAAGCATTAATTCACTTTCAGGTTAATTATTAGAGCCCCCTCTATGGTACCCCTGACTTAGGTGCCTTTAGATACACAACTCTGAATGAATGACTCTAGCTCATCATAGCTACATAGATAGTTCATTTGCTTAATTTATAATTCCCTTTATCCAAGGAAGCAGAGGTGAGCTGTAAACTTAAAAGCACATTAACATGCATTAATCAATCAAGTTCCCATAGATCTTTGTTTTGTGTTATGCTTCCTAAAACCAATGTTCATGTTGGAATATCCTTCTACTTCTCAAGGGTCATTCAATAAAAGAGCAATATTGAACTATTGACATGCCATGTTCTTTGATGAACCAATAAAAAAAATTATAGCACACCAAATTTTGTGAATAAGTTTATTTACTTCAAGAGTAAGGACAAAATGAACCAAATACATGTGTCAATCATCAGCATTCATCTAATGATGAAAGGTTAACAACTAAAGCATCGTTATCAGGTACCACCACACCCACTGATGAAATGGTAACCCGCTTACAAAAGGGAGAGAACCTTTAATCACACAGACACTAGAGGTAACATTCATAAAAAATATTTTTTTAGAGTGTCAAGTTTTCTTATTTTTTAAAGTAATTTATTCAAATTGTCTTTCAATATTGTATTTTTTAACTATTCAAGAAATAAATATGGCATTAATAAGATATTCTGGGCTTGATGCCTTGGTTATGTTTTTTCTAAAAATAAATCTTTAAGAATCATTTGTGCAAAATTCAAATTGTTATTGTGATTGTCCGAAATTAATTACAAAATAATTTATTACTTGCATAACTTTAAAAAGAAAATGCAATAGAGTATATTGCTATGCCCTTGCCCTCCAATAATTTCATTCCTTTTAACACATCACGTTAAATATGTATTGTAATGTGAATACTGCTAAATCTGTTCTTCTGATAAGAATGCCACATTACAATATTTCGTCGACCCCCTGAATTATATATGTACAAGTCGAACTTATCATTAATATTTTCTAAATATGACTTGGTATACAATGCAGCTTGCAAAGAAAAGATTCTTGTAACATTCGAAAACTATTTTCACATCAAATTCCCCTTCCCTTTGAAGGGCTAATAGTATTACAAATTTACATGGATGCAAAACATATAAAAAGAAATTTCTTAAGCACTACTAGTTAATATTTCCTTATATCAATATTGAAAACTTGAAATAGTCAGCACTGTTAATGCAAAAATGCCTACATATAAAGCGATTAAGGTATTCTGGTACGCTAGATCAAAACTTAATGCACAACGTACCACACTTAAACATGATCATTAGAATATTTACCCTTCAGATTTCATATTAACAGCCTAGAATAGTAAATTTTCTAGTGTATCATTAAACAAGAAAGGTTCTCCAACCAATCTTCCCCTGTGATGTTCCAGTGAAATTGTTCAAAAAAATACTAGCACTTTGTTTGTTTTTAAAGAATCGTCCAATCAAAATGAACTTCCTTCGGGGGGCTGAGACAGTTTACTGTTCTCCTTCAGTGTCATTTGGCGGCGGATATCCTGTAGTACATTCTTTATTGACATGTTCCTATTCCAATTTCTCATACTATCTAGTTTTTTTGTATCAATCTGAAAGAAGAGGCAATCAATATATTACAAATAATTCTCAGAATCAGTGATCATACACAGAACTCGTATCCTAGTTTTACTTTTAGTACTGTAATCTATTATGCTGGTAATAGAGGACATTTATAAAACAATGGCGCATTCAGGGGAGTTTGGGAGGGGGGGATCGGAAAAAAAAACCCGGTCTCTCGTTTTTTTGGGGTTTTTTTTAAGCATAAGCGTTTTTAATAATTTTCTTTAGCGCATAAGCGTCCTTACCGAATAAACATTCCATCGTTTCGCACGACGAATCAAAGACCGAACTGGTAAACAAAGACGCCATCTTGAACACACTACTAGTGCAATGTACAGTTGTGTTTTAAGAAATTTATGAAAAATAAAATGTTTTTAAAAATGTTTCTTTTTCTTTACAGAATTTTATATTATATTTAAAAGACTTTGAGTCAATTTATCAAGACAGAAAAAGAAATAATTTCACGTATGAAATGCATTAAAATGCACCATTTTGCACTATTCTTTTCAAAAATTTTGCAGGGGAGGCCCCCCGGACCCTCCCAATGGGAGGAGGTATCCCCCTCCCATACCCTACCCCTTCGGCCCTCAAAACCCCCCACATTAGCCAAAAATAATACGCAAAGGGCAATAACTCTTATCGTGCATCTTATTTTTGCCTTTTTCTAAAGTACACATGTATAATTATCTTTGTGGGAACTCTTAAAAAGGTTGGAGAAATGTATATATATTTTTTAAAATGATTATTAATTACTTTAAACTATATTCAGTTGAATTTAAATTATTTAATACAGTTTTTCAGCTTTAAACCCATAAACATGCAAGTGAGGAAACACCTATAAAACACATATCTAGTATACAAAAATTCAACATTTGATTACAAAGTTTTGAAATGATCAAATCAATCATGAAAATCAGAAAAGATCAGCAAATCAATTTTGTATAAGAATCAATTATTGTCCTACCAACCGTTAGTCGCCTTCCAAAAAAAAATTAAAAACAAAAATTTTAAAAAATATGCCAGATAAAAACTTACTACTCCGGTAGATTCGTTAACACATGTCATTTTAATCCTAGTGGCAAACCTGACGGAAGGAGGGCGATCTGGATACTGAGGCCCACATTCTATCTTTAAGGAATAAATCCTACTTTCAAAAGGTGTCTGAAATTCAGAAAATATTTATTTCTGTATACAGACAGAGCAAATGTGGTCAAGTTGATTCATCTACCGGTTTTACTTTTTCTTTCAATTTGTAGAAAACAAAATTCTAAAACAGACTTATACATGTACATGTACTGAAGACACATTAATATGACTTGCAGTAGCTACAAGTACAAATAACTTATTTTTTCATGCCTACTTGGTCTTTGCTTACCCTTGGTGGACCTAAGATCATTCCATTCCAGTATGTTAGACTCATATCATCATCATTATCTAGACCCCAGCTTATACTGCCATCTCCTATTCCCTTCTGGCCTTGTTCAAGTTCATCTAACAGCTTAAAGTTTCTTGGAACTGAAATTAAAAAAATTACTTCATGAAGTGCCATGGACAGACAATAAGATACTTCATTTATTTACATCTATTATGTTACCAATACATACTTAAAGCCAGGGTGAATGTAACTCACTTTCCTGAATTCATTAATTTATAAATGTGTTCAACAGGAGTGTGTTAAACTGTGTTGAGCTGTAATGTTGAATGCACTTTTATGACTATAGCATCATATTGTTATTTATGAAGTACATTGTGTGTTAGGTATAGTATTTCGCAAACAAATTAATTTGCTGGTCATGGGGGCAGATCCAGAGATGACACAAGATAGACCATCATGGAAGTCGCTGGTGACTGCATGTCTTATGTGATAGCCAGCACAAAGACGACTTAGTTTAGAGAATGACAGGTGTCTTTAATCTATTTTGGTTTCAAAAATCAAATTGCATTGTTAGCATTTTCAACAAAGATACACTTTTTTTAGGGGAAAGCTATAAAGCAAATAACATTCTGCCAATAGATACTATCTACATCTAATCAGGTCCAGTACAATCTCTTGATTTAGCTATATAGCTTTAAATAGCTATATAGCTTTATTAAGCTATTCAAAATAGCTTTATTTAGCTATCTCTATACATTTTTTCACAAAATTGTTTTTTTGCTGAAAATAAACAAAAAGTCGCATGTATTTGGCTCTTCATATATGTACTATTGGCTATCTAAACAACAACCAAAATCAAAGATAGTTTTAACTTTGCAGCTTTTGAATACTTTTAAGCAAAAAGAGAATTTCTATTGTTAGACTAACTGTCCACTACCTTGGCTGCCTTGAGGCATGATTGCTTCTCATTGTGGTGAACTGTTACAAATCAATTATCTTGTTGAACATAATAGGTCTCCATTATGATATCATCGCAGAAGTAACTGTATCAATTGCTTTATATAGCCCCAAAACTTGTAAAACTTTGAGTACAAAGTCTCTCAAGGAGACGTAATTTGATGAGTGATTTTTAAAAGCATTATTTTAAGAAGAGTTCAAAGTTGTATATAATGACTGCACCAAGGTGCGCTTTTTTGTACATACTGAGAAAATTACACCTTTAAGAAAAAATTGTTGTAAAATAGCTAAATTAAGCTATACTGAATAGCTTAATAAAGCTATATAGCTATTTAAAGCTATATAGCTAAATCAAGAGATTGTACTGGACCTGCTAATAGGAAATGGGGCTGCAAACATAAACATGTCACCCATTTTAATATCTTAATCTAAATATCATTTTTTATATATAATTTACATGTAGGCTTATACATCATATACTTTACAGTACTTAAACCCCTACATGTACACTGTACATGCCTACATCAGTACATGCCTGTCGTGGAACCGAGTTGGTTAAGACAATAAACTCATATATTATTCCTACACTACAGTTACAACAGTACAAATACAACTGTCTTTTTACTGAATGAATGAGTAGAATTCTAAATATGAAGGTCAATGTCAAACAAACTACTCTAAATTTTTGCCTGCCAGGAAAGCAATGGGACATATCCGAAATTTTGAGTGCTAACTTCAGAATGAATGAATGTGTCAGCTACACAAGGAAGCACAGTCACCGTAACCAAGGTGTCCTTGTTCTACCACGCACCTCACAAAAACGGATAATTGATATTCTCAAAATATAACAGGTTATTGATATTAAAAATTCGTCGTAACTCGCTATGTTTAAACAAAATTATCATGTGATAAAGCTTTGTTCACACCTTGTGCAGATTCTGGAGGAGCCGCCATGTTGAGTAATCAGCGAACAACATAGAACCTGGAACGGGGAAATTTTTTTCCCGGATTTTTTACGACTATGATCTTGTCTTTGAAGGGGAACATCCAGAAAAAAAGAAGCGATATCTTACCTGAAAATATTTGATCCCCCCATAAAAAATCGTGTTTTGGGATGGGGTGGAGAATCTAATGAACTGTATCGGCTATCGCATTTTATTAATGTACATAGGCGTCGGTATAGGGGGAGGGGGGTTATGAGGCTGAGTCTTCATTGAAAGATTCTGAATATTTCCGCATGCCCCAACAATAGTCGTTCAGTGAATAAAAAATATCAATATATACCATAGGCGTCGGAACCGGGGGCGGGGGGGGGGGGGGGGGGAGCCCCCCCCCCCCCCACTTTTTTCCCCAAAGTTATAGACTTAGTATAGGCATTGGACATTGCTGCGTAGGTTTAGCCCCCCCCCCCACTTTCCACAGAGACGTTGCAGTATAGTTTAAAATGGGGAAAATGGTGGTGTTTGGAAAAATGTTGGTACTGAAGTTTGAATCTACCCCTCTCCCCCCGAAATAGGATTTTCGTTTTTGGACAATGGACATTTTTTTTTGCTTGTCAGGTTTTTTTGAAGGTATAAAAAAATACACTTACCCCCCCCCCCCCAAACACATACACACACACACACACACACACACACACACACACACACACACTTTCAATTTCTTGCAAAAGAAAAAAATCCACTCATCAGTAAAAGAGAAGTGTTCATTTAAAGTTAAAGATTCTGAATATTTTCGGATACTGAGTATCCAGACTGGTTATTTGGTATTAAATAAAAATTTGCAATATACACTCAACAAAAAAAGAAACGCATATTCATATTAAACATGATAATCTAAGTTTTCATTTTTTTTAAACCTTAATTTTCTAAATGATTTTAGTGTATAGTGATAAAAATTAAACATATGTCCTACATGTATGTTCCAAATTGACAAGTTAAGTTAACGTCATTGACGTCGACTCGCCTCCAAATTCTAGAGGCATACGTCTTAACCAATCCATATGTCCTTTGCGACCTCTCAGCGCAAGTGGATTTCCTGTGTACGGGCGTCGTGCACGAATACCAGCTCCTCTCAGTCTCTTGCGAACATTTGAGCATTTTATGCTGACTTCAGCAGTTTGTACAGTTCTGAGTCAATTGCGCAGGTGCTGAAGGAGGATCTGACGGTCGTGTCTGGTTGTCACTGTGGTAACCCGCTGACGGCCAGTTCTTGGTATGTCATCCGTGTTCCTAGCTGGTAGAGACATACTGCAAAGCCGATTGAATTACACCAAATGCAGTTGAAACTTCCTGTTGCGTATAGCTCCGGTTAGTTTCATCGTTAGACACCCATTCTCAATATAAGGGCTCAAATAATGTCGCCTCATTTTCATTTAGAAGAAATACCAGTGATGTAATTTTTAAATCAACATTATAAATAGTCATATAACAATGAATAAGAATTCATATAATTATCTATCTGAAAGGGTATTTAAGGAGTTCCAAATTCAAATATAGTAGCCTATTTGAAATGTACGTTACTGTCGCCGAGGCAAATATTATGCTGAATCCCCTCTGTGTAATATATAGTTTTGATTCTCAAGTAAAAAATTTCTGATAAGTTAAACCTTGTATCATATATATTTCTTTTCATAACAATAAATACATTTTCTTTGTGATAATAATATTGTGCAATGTCCCTGTCGCTTAATTCTATTTCAACCACATTACAAGCAAACACAAAGATTATACACCTGATAGTTTTGTTCTGCTTTATTTATTGATGGGCTAAATTTGAAATTTCAAAGGATTAATTACTCCTACTTAGATAATGTAACATGAAATTGAACAATTTGAGCAACTTTTATAAATATGTTTACGAAATGAAAGACATTTTCAATCGTAGAGATAAGAAAGAAATGTACGTTACCTATATTCTTCCATTAAGAATATATATTAAGTAGAAAATATGAGATGACTCTGAATAAGCAACCCCTTGTATCCTGTAAACTGGCAAAGACGTTTTGCTTAACACAATTAAAAATTCTTTTTTACATGAAAAGTGATCATTTGAAATGTACGTGACTGAAATGTACGTTACCATGAAATTCGAATTAAGTGAATCTCGCACGAATTTCATGTATTCTCATACTTTCACACACTCGAATGTGTACACAAAGGAAAGTTTCAAAGGTTGGAGGTCGGCTAAATCCCAAAATTAATGAAAAGAAACGTTTCTGCTGAGGAAAAAAATATATTAAGGTCAATTATATGTGATATAATTTTGATACCTGGTATATATTTCTGAATACGAAACCTGTATCAGGCACGTAGTATCCGGGGGGGGGGGGGCAGGGGGGCCTGGCCCCCCACTTTTTTCCCCAACATTACCTTTACTATAGAAAATGTCTATTGAAAAGATGGTTGGCCCCCCACTTTTTACCACAGTATACACATAGCAAGAAAATATAGGAAAAAAATTGGAAGTGAAAGGAAGTTTGCCTTGAAAAAATTTGGCCACTACCCCCCCCCCCTCCCCCCCCCCACGAAATAGGATTTTCGAGTTTGGGTAAATTTTTTTTTTTTTTTTTTTTTTTTTTTTTTTTTTTTTTTTTGCTTGTTAACTTTTTTTTAGATGAAGTAAAAAGAATTATCTCAGGTTGGCCCCCCCACTTTCAAAAACGATGCTACGTGCCTGTGTATGATGCATTTCTTATGATATGCAAGTTCAAATAGTATCAATATATTGCGTGTCTAACGTACGCTTTTGGAAGAGAATTGATTTTTATATTTGAAATGTACGTTACGTATGGTAACATACTATGGCAAGCCCTTTTGCTATTTATTCGGAAAATAAAATTTAACTTAAAATGACAGAGATATCTCTCATTTTGAAGAGATATCTCTATGAGAAAGAGATATCTCTTAAACTTAGAGAGATATCTCTAATACTTAGGGAGATATCTCTTTTTATTAGAGAGATATCTCTTCCACTTGAAAAGATATCTTTTTCTCCTTGAGAGATATCTCTTTCGCGAAAAGAGATATCTATAAACGTTAAAGAGATATCTCTTTTACCTAGAGAGATATCTCTTTTACTTTTGGAGATATCTCTCAAGGATAAAGAGATATCTCTTAAAGTAAAAGAGATATCTCTTAAAGTAAAAGAGATATCTCTCTTAGTTTATCTTAAGAGATATCTCTTAAAGTGAAAGAGATATCTTTCAAAAGTGTCTAAAAGAGATATCTCTTTCACTTTAAGAGATATCTCTTTGTCGCACAGAGATATCTCTATACCTATTTTTTATTTAAATTCCATTTCAAATTACTTCTCCCTTTACCGGAAGTAAACTTTTCATTGACGAAAGTATAGTTTATTATTTCACAAGCTGAGAAAATTCGGTCCATTGCATATGCTTACTTTCGTTTTCGTGAATATTAAACTTTACACATTTTTATCAACGAAGTTGCCATTATTATTTGTTATTTCAAGTAAGGGATTTATAGCATTTTTATCTACACAGTACATGTATTATTCAGGGTAATTCCTTGCTCAGTCGTTTTTTTCTTATAACATAGAAACTATTCCAGAGACTTTACTTCCTGTTTCGCTTTCGTTTTAAGGTGGAGAATTAATTATTCTATTTTAAGCATCACTGGAAAAGAGATATCTCTTTCATTAAAAGAGATATCTCGTAAGCTCATAAAGATATCTCTTTTTAAAAATCTAAAGAGATATCTCTCTAACTAAGAAAGATATCTCTTTTTACCTTGTTAAAGAGATATCTCTCTAACTTGAAAAGATATCTCTCTCGCTTAAAGAGATATCTCTCTAGCTTATAAAGATATCTCTCTAAGTAAAAGAGATATCTCTCTTACAAAAAGAGATATCTCTTTTGTTTAAAGAGATATCTCTCTAAGGCATAAAGATATATCTTTTAGTCAAAGAGATATCTCTATAAGCTAAAGAGATATCTCTCTATGTTAGAGAGATATCTCTCTTATTGAAAGAAAATTTTTATTTCACGAATAAATAGTAAAAGGGCTTGCCATAACATACATTTCTAACTAACATTTTTTTTCATTTAGTCAATGAATTGCGTTTACACGAGCGAAACAAAGTTATCGTTACAATCCATTTGACAACTGACCACATAAATCCATCTAAATGCACCCCCAATCCTCGTAAATGTGGTAGACTGTTACCACATGCTAGAAAATTTATTTCTTAGTGTCTTAAATTCATCTTTGGCAACCTTTTTGCAGTTTGTTTACTTTTAATATGCGATTTTTCGTCAATATTAATTTAATTGTTGTTGATAATTTAAAACAAGGTATGCATAGGCTTATAATTGGTAAAAAATCCAAAACAAAACAAAAAAAAAAAAAAAAGAAAAAGAAACAAAACAAATAAACCCAGAACACAAGACGGTCACGTACATTTCAAATACTGAAGGCACACACTACTCAGTTTTGTTTGAATCATTGCAGTTTGGGTTATATTTTTCCAGATCTGCTGAAAAGCACGTATGTTTGTGTTTTGACAAACGATGTTGAAACATACTAAATGAAATTGTTAACAAGACTGTCGATGGATATATTCGGAATAGATTTATAAATTTCAATGGCCAAACACGAGCATTTGTTAGATCATAGCAAAATACGTCTGACTCTTATTTTTTTGTCTGTACCCTTGCACACAGGTAGAAGTAACTAGGCTACGACCGGTGTCAATTTCAGCGAAACAGCACAAAAGAATGGTTAAACTGAGGTGGAGGGGACTCCCCAATAATATGTGAAATGAACGTTACCGAAGTGACGTGACATTCATGTAGTTGATGACAAATAACCTCGTTTGTTACATTATGATTTCTTATATTACTGCGTTAAAACGCATCATTGAAATGATTTTTATGTCAATAATTGCTTTTTTTCAATATTTTCTTATTACTAATTTACATATTATTACAAGCTTGAAATGTACGTTACCTACTCATATTCTGGGGCAATCGTGTCTTTATAGTAGTGATTGTGACATATAACA